AATCTGCGGAATTCGCTTAATTATCGAATGCAAAGTAGCCGTTATTCTATGTTATCTAAAGTATACCAAGCATGTTTAGTTTTTTTAAATTTATTGTAGATAGTGGATTTGCGTAATTCAAGTCTGATAAAGGCTTGACTGTAAGCATTTAATTTTGTCATATCAATATATTTATTTGGGTTAAAGTTTTCAGTTTCTTTATGAATCAACATACAAATGATGAATGTAAAACTTGTTTATAGCCCTAATTTTATTGGTACATAAAAACTAAGTGTTAAAGAAAGCTGACATATTAAGTTTTTTTTTATCAATTGTCATAGAAATTATCAATGTAAAACCTGCTTTAGACCTAATTCTAATAATAAAAAAGGTCTAAATGATTATTTATCATTATTCGTACATTCTCATTTATTATCAATCATCTTACAATCTTTTAGCTGCTATGTAAACACTAGATCTTAATATGTAAAAATAGCTGACATATTTTTTGAATCACTGTATTATTAATGTAAAACCAATATTTACTCGTAACTCTACTGGTAGGAATACACTAAAACTAAATAAGTTACAGACAACTGACGTTTTACTCATAATTTTCTTAAGGACAGTTCGGAAAGACCAGTAATTGCGACCGTAGAAAAACTAATAAAACGCTTCATGGCTTAAGACTTCGCCGTTTTTTTATTACATACTATATGTATATATATATATAAATCTATGCCACTCGACGTACGCTTTTGAGGCCAATCCAAATCGTTATGCAAATAGCATCCAGTAAACCGTTCAAAGCATCATTCTCATTTTTTTTATACAATCTTAAAAAAGAATCATCCATCAACTGAATACAATCTATACGTTAAGAAAAAAACTTCCGTTTTGACTACTCAAAATTTATAGAAAACTGATGAATGTTGGCTGATGAAAGTCAAATAAAGAAAAAAAAAATAACTTAAGACAGATAGTTTACTTTGCATAAGATGAGATTATAATTCGATTATTCTAATTGTCTAAAAGTCAAATAAAGATAAAATCAATGAAAATAAGACTACAATCATTGAGGTAAGATAAATGCAGGTGATATAGTTATGTGAAGGAGAATAGAAAACAAGGCATTATATTATTATTTAATAACTTCATTCTGCGGCAATTTGCAATGGGCTTTTTGTATAGCGAAATGTAGTCGAGTTGTATGTAGTCAGTCAGTCAGGCAAGTGGGTGAAACGAGGGAAGGAAAGAAAAGGAGGCATTGGAAGAAAACTGGTATTGGCGCGAGGAATTGGAGTGGGTGAAATTAATTTATATATAGAAAATTAACGATCTCCTATCAAGACGTGGGCAGATCCATCCATCTGCGTGGAAATAATTTTAGAAATTAATTGCAAATTTATTGGACATTTTGGTTGATGGTCTACAAAAAAAATTAATTGATCTATCGGATCTGTTTTTGAAAGTATGGTTATTAATGGATTTAGAAACTTTAAAAGTGCAAACTAAAGATTAATCAATCAAATAATTAGAAATTAGTTTACTTTAACAAGAATATTAATTTGAATTTTTTTAGGAACTTAGTAAATTAATCTGTTAATTTAATATTTCAATAACTCTCTACTTCTCATAAACTTAACTAGTTAAATATTTTAGTAAAAACCATGAAAAAAAATACAGTTAAACATCTGTCATGACTATTATGTTATAAGTTTATTGACATAAAATGAATGAATGAAAATTATGTCTTTAATTATTTCATATTTATATTAGTAACTGATGAACATATTTTAAGATTAGATAAAAGATACTATACAATCAGAATCTATATATGTAATAAGTTGCTAGTTAGACATCAATCATGATTATCTAAATGACGTGTTTATGACAGCTAATTGTGATAACTATCAATGGAACAGTCGACTTAACTATAACTGCAGGTTTAACTATCGGATTTAGTTTGAACTATAAACCAACTTTTAAAATTATAATACTGCAACTATGATCTTGACCAATCAAGGATTTGTATAAATAGTAATAGATTTAACTATCAGATGTAGTTTATTTCGTAGTATATTTCGTAGAAAGAAAATAAAGTATATATATATATTTTAGTGTAACGCATTAAAGACATGAGAATGAACATGAAGAAAGTAAGTAAAACGTAAATTTGACAGCTGTCATAAATATCTTTATAATATAAAAATATAGTTTTAACTAACACATTTAACTATCATTTTATACTTCTATGATGTTAGGTTTTACTAGCACTAACTTGGAAAAGTAATGTACAGTAATAGTTTCGTTTTATTAGTACATATCGAATATTCAACAGATTTCTTTGCTAAGATAAAGCAACAGTTGAATCGTAAAACAGCGTAAGCGTTATTAAAACAAGAAAACATTTATTGAGCGCTCGAGTATCTTAATCTCTCCATATAGAGTTTCTACAATTGCTAATCATGTCAGGAATGCATGTCAGATCCATGCGTCCAAGGATTAAAAAAATATATATAATGAAAATACGTTTATCACGTCCATTTCGAATTTACAAAAATGTTGTAAATCTTTATGGCGTCGCTGAGGTCTTTCCAAATGCGAACAAAACGTACGTTTACGTCTCAATCTGGAGCAGTGAAGATATTTGAGTTTTGCAACATCGATATCATATGCAATATTAAAGATCCGTAGGTCGATGACCTTATTAATAGCGATTCTTAATTTAAATCTTTCAGTGAATTCACCGTTACTTTCTGAAAAATTTAACACTAAACTTGTAAATATCTTCATGTGCTTAAAAAGCAGATGTTTGGATTTTTGTATCTCAATTAAGTTTAGCAATATTTTTGTATTGCAATAATGATTAATGTGTATCAACAAGGTCATAGGTCGGTAACCTTTTCTCGTTAACAGCTGCCATTAAATTAAGTCTGTCGGTAAATTGGTTTGTTAGTGGCAATTGCTGGTTTGCATATTGTAATTATGTTATAACTAATTATTGTTAATTCTAATCACTACTGTGATTCATTTAAACTTTGGTCTTTACAATACTAAAAAAAACTGTTATGATCTATTACAAGGTTATTGGAAGCAATATCAACATCGCACAAGCGTTTATTTATATATGGTTTAGTAAATGGTACATTCACCAGTCTAAAGTTCTATATGTGCATTAAACTAATGATAATGTGAAAATTGGAACTGCTTCAAAACAAATAAATTATATTTTTTTGTTGAAGTATTACATACATTAAGTATCACAAAAAAAGAGACATATCAAGTGTATTTATTATATAAACAAATGAAGGCTATCATTATCACTATTTTATGTTTAGACATATTTTTTTTTCCAAAAACTACTTCTAGATATTATTATAATTGATAAAAAACAACGTAAAGGAAATGAATTATTTAATTTCTAACGTTGTTTTTTTTTTAAGAAAGTGTTAAATTTCTAGACCCAACAAAATTTTATACAACTTCGTCAACTGAATCAACATCGGATGATATGCATATAAAGATTTATCCCTTGAATTACCAACCAAATGAAATGATAATTCCTTATTCCTGTACATTTTTATAATAATGTCACACTAGGCATGTTTAAAAGGTGGGACAATGCGTGTCCCACTGTCCTTCAAAGAGTTAAAAAGTCATTTTATGTAATATCCAAGTGAATTATCAAATATAAATCAAACTTCTTAGTTAAGTTAATAAAGTGTAACAAAATTACATATAAATATAATTTTAAAAATACACTTTCAGTTGTCATTGTATTTTGTTTGACATGTGTTTGTCATATGGATTATCTAACGTTTTACAGCCAATTATCTTGTTTTACAAAGAATAATATTAAGCTCTAGATAAATTAGTTAAATAATACTTAAGTAAATTGTTTTATAAAACTTGATATAACTCAGTCAATTTATTATATAAAGTATCTCTAAAAATTATTAATAGAAAAAATAAACACGTGTCACGTGTACAGTATGTCAATAAACGTTTAATAATAAATTTTAAATCTTCAAATATTTATTTGCTGTAAATATTTATATAAATTAGTAAATTTTCTTAAGTAATATCAAAAATTAAGATTATAAGAAGTAAATAAAACTATCTTTGTATAGAATACAGCATTTATATTTATATTCAACTATTTTAACACTTAGATTTAATAATAGATCAATATAATAATAATCAATAATTTGAAAATAAATTATTATTTATAGTTAAGTAATCTAATTGGAAATTAAGTGGGTAGACGATGTTTTACAGTTTATTGTAACAAGATCAAGTTGTGTAGATTGATCGTTTACATTTTTAAGTAAGCAGTGTTCAATACCATGATTTGTATAACTTGGAATGATTTGAAGATCTAAAAATATTTTGTTTTTTAAATAAATTATATTTCTTTTTATCACAGAGGATAATTGGATTTTATATATAAATTTAGTGATTACTATTTTGAATTAATACATGTAAATTTGTGGTGGTTTATTGAAATTATGCTTGTCAAACATGATTTTTTTATTGAAATTATAGTTTTTCTTATTTAAAGTATTGTCAAAAGTAAATGAAATTTAATATTTACTATTGTGAAGCATGTGAATATAAACAAGATTAATTAATAGTTAAATTGGAATTCTGTATTGTTATGTTGATTTTTTTAATATAACATTTAATTTAAACTATTCTTCATACAATAAGAACATTTACTATTGTACTTCAAGAGAATATAAAGAAGAAATTAATTTATTGTTTATTAAGTAGCAAATGGGGAATATTTTAAAATTAATTTACTATTTTCTTATTATGATGCATGTAGATATGTTAACTTATAATTAAGTTGTACTGCTTTGTAGAATTTGTAATCTAAGTAATTAAAGGATAATTTGAAGTGTATTTTGTTTTTGTTATTCTGACGCTTGTAGATATATTCATGATAAATTTATTTTTAAATTGTGATGTTTTGTTCAAGTTGTGTTTGGAAGTAAATGAAGGATTGTTTAAAGTACCTGGGTTGCCAAGAAAGTCGTCTTTGTCTAGAAGCGTGTGCGGCTGCTGGAAACCGTAGGCGGGTAGCCACGGATTGCTGCCGGCAAGATCCAGATGCTGACCGGGCCAGTCGCTGAAGGCGATGTCCTCCATGTCTTTGTAGGTGATGGAGAGGTGCCCCACGTCCCCGAGTCATTCACACGCTCGTCGTTCGGTCACGCAACGGTACCTTCACTTCACTCACATTTATGAACACACTCGGCGTACGCGAACCGAAGAACTCTGTGGTGGCGAACCTCACCAAACGGGGAAAAGAACGCGCGAGAGCAGTGGAAGAACTGGTAGTTGTAATAGTAGTAGTAGTCAACAGAACAGCAGCAGCAGTAGCAACGGTAATAGCAGCAGCAGCAAGTCCTGTCTGGCTGAGAGGCCAGCTAACACTGCTTGTTGCTCGGATGGTTCGTAACGCTAACTCCAACAGCGTACTAGCAGATTCATATTATACTTGTATTCCATCTATGTATACGGGGGAATACAAAAGTAATGAGTATGAGTGAGCGGACGAGCTCAGATGGAATGCCGCACCACCGCAATGGACTCAATGGAATGCGTGCGTGTCTCCTCTCATCCACCTCTTCGGTGCGTCGTCTCTCGCACCACGCTCGGACTCCTTCCTCCTCCAAGGCCTGCGGACCAGAAACAAGAACAAAACCTATCAGCGGATTCATTTCTTAAAAGCCATCTCCTATCAACTATCCCATTCCGACTTGACATCTTCGTCCGAGGAAATCGAAAGTTTTACATCTTATTTACCATCTCCGCTACCGAAATTTATTATACCCATTATCTTCATTATGACTCTTTGTTACCATCCGCACCGCGTTTTTACCACCGTGGTAACATCCTTAATTAACAACAAATCGCAACAGGGAACAACATTTTTTTGTTAATTATCTTGGGAACAAATTAATTTTTAAACTTTATTTTTCAAATTATCTTTTTATCATTATTTTATTATTATTATAAATAATAATTTTAATAAATTAGATAAACAACAAAAATTGACCACTGCACTCATATTTTTATGATTACATAAAATAATACACAAAGATACAATGCATGTTTTCTTCTTAGATTTCTAATCATTAAATCCTCATATAATATAATTATGATAAAAAGAAATCAAAAAATTAATGAAATTCTCAGCTATTTGATTTAAATATGTTTTTAACATAGAAATGTCACTATTAATACAATAAACTGAAGGTTACTACAATACAAAAAAAATCATTTTCATTAGACAAGTAAATGTATTAGATAAGTGAATGAAACATAAATATTTTTTAAATTATTTAGTAAAAAAAGCGGATTGAAAACTAATTTATTTCAATAATTTCATTACCTTATAAACTTCAAGTTGTTCAGTAATGAACATGGTATTTATTACACAATTTTAAACATAAACACGTAATTTGTTTTTCTATTTTGATATAATTGTAGATCATAAATTGTAAATAAAAAGAACGACTTTGAGTAGTTGTTATTGGGTACTTGGTAAACAACAAATGCTATGCATTATGTAACATTGAAATTACTTATATAAAAGGTATACATTAGTGTACAATTTTCTATATATTTCTTATATTTTGTTAAGGTCTTAGCTTCATTACAAATTATTTTATATTACATTCTCATTAAGAATTTGTTTAAAAATTGAATATTCTAACAATACCATAATACCAAACAATTATCCAATATTTAGCTTAGTCAAAAACGATAGTAATAAGAATTTCAAATAAAAATAAAGGTTTTTTGCACAAGTAAATATATAATTGCCAATCAGAGCAATGATAATTTGATTTTCTTGTTGAATTGAGAACGCAGAAAAAGAAACGAATATTCAAGAAAAGCAACAGTTTTCAACTATTTGATAGCACCGAAGAAAAAAGTAAATAGGTAATGCAGATATTTACACAGAACTCTCTTTTCGAATTTATTTCTTTTCTTGAAATATAATAATTTAATGCGGAAAATAAACTGTATTTTTACTCTTATTCATCACGTATTTTTAATTGAATATAAAACCAAAGCGGGAACTCCTTCCTGTAATTAATTTGCTTATTTTATTAGAAGCAACTCTATTATATAGCAATGTTTATTCAATAATTTTACATTTAAAATTAAAATAATATTTGTATTATAATCTTATGATATGAATAATGTTAGCATAAAATTTATACATAAGAAGATACAATCAAATGATTGTAATATCATTATTATAATGAGAATAAAAATATTCTTATTGTGAATTTATTTTAAGAAACTGGACAGAAAAACCTTGTTTTGTGCGGTAGATAAGGACCGAATAAAAAAAATCGTACAAAAAAAATATTCCAAAATTTTCATAAATTCTTACATATAACAAATAACTTTGTATAATACATTATTTTTGGTTGGTTGGATTTCATAAACCGCAAAAAATCACATAAGAAATATACTGTATTTTCTTTGACGTAACGTAACGAGTTACAATTATAAATACAAAAAAATATATTAATTTAAATTCTGAAACCAAATAGTTTACTTTTGAAATATTTAAATTTATTCAAAGGTCTAAAATAAATTATCTATGAAACAAAGTTTATTAATGCAGATTACTTGATAATCAAATATTTTCATGTTATTTAGATAGTGGAAGAAAAAAATTGATAAAGCTCTTGTAGATAATATTTCATTAATCGTTGATAGTAATCCACTCAAAATATTAATATTAATTTTACTATATCTAAAGTTCAATGCAAAATAATCTGATTTGACTCATTATAAATGGACTAATAAAATTACTGCTCAAAAAATAAACTGAATGATAAAATACAGAAATAATTTAAAAAAATATAATTTCAATATTATGAAATAATTGTTACTTCCTTACACCTAGTATTAGCAAATCAAGAACATAAAAAAAGAACCTTCGTCGTTAATAAATAATGAAAGTGCTTGTTCTGAGAACGTTCGTATCTCGCGCTGTAATTTTCTCTGTTCGCATTGTCTCGGATATAAAACCTAACCTCGGATCGAAATATTTATTTAATAATAAAATTCCAGCTATGCAAGAAACTATCATGCAATAAAACTTGAATATATATAAGTATATACATAAATAAACACAATCAGAGAAACTCGCGTTGCGTTTAACTATGATTTATCTAACAGAGTGTACAGAACAAGGTTATTCTAGCTCACTATATTTTTTATTGTGGTATTAATATTTGTATTTGCATGATCATCGGAATTTCTTCACAATACTTCAATACCTTGTATAGTGCGGCTTTTATTTTTTATATATAAATCATAGGTTTTTTCCCCTTTATACTATTGGTAGGTGAACCGGGGTAAATTACCCCAAATGAGATAAAAGTTAAATTTTGGAGATAATGAGGACGTTTGTTATTAATGTCGTAATGGGGTAATATAGGCATAAATGAATATACTTTGGGGTAAAAGAGAAAAAAAATGTACCCCGACCCGTATTTTCTACAGTCAATTAGTCCGGTTTCAATCAGTCCGGGATAATGGCGGAATCGATTACCCGTACTACGCGAAGTATATCTTTAGTGCGTATTATTTATATATGTAACTGGAGTTTTTCAGTTTCGAGAATCAAAGATGTTTCATCTCAGAATAGAGATAGGCATTTCCGGAGTTGTGTTTATCCCAGAATTTTGTCTTATTTTAGACCCCCCAAAATTATCACAAACAAAGGGCATTTTCATTGTAGAATTACCACAGCTTACATTGGAAAAAAGATCTGTTTAATATTTATTTACAATTTTGGATATTTTCTTCAGGATAATGAATTTCAGGATTCAATGCATGTTCTATTGATGAGCAAGGAAATCAATGTATTTTATTGCTAATGTCAAGTGAATATTCACATATCAATTAACACATTCAATTACAAATAATTATTACTTTATAAGAATACCTCACATAGTACAGGTTATAGATTCCACCAAAACACCGGACTCTTTGAAACAGACTTGACAAAATAAGGGAAAAATGAAAATCTCAATAGAAAAATTGCTTAATTAAATTTTATATTTTTTTGCATTTCATGTTGTACTAAACATTATTTTTTTTTATATATTTTATTAACATAGAAAAGCTATTAACCACAGTCATTTTGCCCTAATTTGTTATATTTATAAGATTAATATGTTTTGAAAAATAAAGCAAATGTATAGTAAAATTGTAACGTATTCTTATCTTCTATACATTAATACTATATTATTGTATTAAGATTAAGCAAAGATAATCTCAAATAATTTATCTTGTTATCAGATTTTTATAGTTTTGCGAACAATTTATCTATTATAACTACATGGGTTACAACAAAGCAAATAAAGGAAGTAAACTGAAGTAAGGAAATGAGATAGGATGAATATTAGAAGTGAACAATTATTTGAATGATTAATTAACATACAATTGTAATTACGACTGGCGGAAGGAGTTTTAGCGAATAGCGGATGTTGTAGAGATCTTAAGATGATAGATTAAGTTTAAGCACGTATTTAGGCCATACTATTTTAATCCTTGTTTTTTAATAGAAGTAATAGTGTAAAAAGCATCATTAATCCCAATAATCTATGATTTTACTTCTAATCTATTATTTATTTAATGAGTAAATATTTTTTTCTTATTAATTAGATTATAAAATTTCGAAAAACACAGATTTTAATATGGAAAGCATTATTTGTTTCTTGAATTTTAAATCGTATGATTGTCCAATTCCAATTTTGTCTGACCAGTGTATCAATTCCAATATTTATAAACAAATTATATTCCTACAAATTTTTTGGCGCTTCACCTATTTTCTTACAACTTCCTCGCGTCTCTCACTTTGGTAACTCATGGTTTAGTCTTTTATTGTCTTTCTCTCCGAAATGACAATTTATTTAATGAAAGTAACTTTTTGAACGGCAAATTCTATAATACTTGACAAAAATTAAGCTGTACTTACATACAGTGGTTTACGCTTAATCGTGACACATCGGGACTAGTACATTTGGCTCGATTAAGCCACACGATTACTGTCCCAAATTAAATTTCCTTAGTTTTGTCTCCGTTCATCAGGATTAGTCCCTAATAAGCAGTTATCCTGATTAACTGGTGTCCCAAATAAGCGGAATCATATCCTCAAAGAATTATAGTTCATTTATAAGTAAAGGATTAGAGATACACAAACTATTGTTCATATTTTCCAGTTCGAAAATTGACTTGTCAATCAATTTTTTATTTGTCTGCATTATTATATAATTTATATAGAACTAAATTATTCAGTTATTATAGAATCTTGATGTAAAAGTGACAGGAAGGATATTGCCTTAAAGTCCTTGATTGAGCGCAAGTATAATTAACCTTTTTTTGTTCCGCATTTGCTGGTATTCGTAACCAATTAATTGTTTATTATCGCCTTGTGAACAGCACATAATTATATAATATAATATTTATGACATTTCAAATTATCTAGGCTTACTTCTCACTTCAAAAATACGTATAAAATTAGTAAATTATGTTTGTTTTTTAACAGTTCTAAATCTAAACATTTCCAATATTCAAATAATTCAAACAAATTAAAAATTTATGAAAAATTTATTATATCAGATAAGTTACATATAAATATTAA